TTGGTGTTCAAGCAAAGGTGGTTACACTAACACCAGTCCACAAAGTCCATGATGACTGACCTGTACTCCAGGTCATTTCCTCCAGACACACAGCTGACAATGGCCGTCATCAGATAACCTCTAGAGATAACAGCTGCTGGAGTTGTAGGTGAAGCCTGAAGTGTAGAAGGTGAATAGAAAGTGTGAGAGCACCGTACCCTGTGGAGCTCCTGTACTGCACACAACCACCTCAGACGTGCAGACTCACGTACTGTGGCCTGTTGGTGAGGTAGTTGATGGCCCATGCAGTCAGATGTTTGTCCACTCCTGCACCCCTCATCTTCTGCTGCAACAAAGACTGCTGAATGGTTTTGAAAGCACTTGAGAAGTTGAAAACATGACTCTCCCAGTGCACTTTTAGTTCCAGTTAATTGGGTTGGCCATATTATTTTGCATTGAATCATATGTTGAACCAGAACCATCTTGGAAATGGGTCAAATCGGTTTTAGCTGCTCTTGCATCTTTAATGAAGGGGATTGTTAACAGTCAAGATAAGTATTGTATCGGCCAAAGAACTGAGATGTACAGCCCTAGTGGGATGTGCGCTGCGTGTCTGTCAGGGTGCATATAATTTCACAATGTGTCTGTGTCTCTCGAGCACACGAGGGTCAACAAATCACACACATTGTTCAATCCATGAGAGCTGTTTTGCTTAGTCTTCGCCCCTATTACACTTACCCCCTGCCTAACACAAGCCCCACTCCGACCTCCGCTGCCTTGTTCACTGATTTCCATTGTGGACACACAAATGACAAAGCAGCTCTGTGTGTGAGAAGAACCAAGCTATGCCTGACTGCTTTGGGTAGAGCTGTTATAGAGTCAAGATATGGTAGGAGCGAGCGGCACGCAGCCAATACAGCTATGACAAGGAGGTGGGACACTTGGAGGTTTGCTGGAACAAGGACTAAGTTGGCCACAATTATCGCAGTATAGTTCCACAGGAAAGCAAGCAAAGGGGGATCTAATCGTTCATGTGTTTAAAACCAGTGTGAGCACTTTCAGGACTTGAACATATGACAGTTCAGTTGCTAATTCATCCACCATTACAGCTCTCTGCTGTTCTACTGCAGTGCTATATTTTTAGTATGTGTTATAAAAGTGCAGCTGTTTATGTGCTGCACAATTTGTAGAGGAGAGAGAGAGTAATAATTTGTTTCATGGGGCTTCATTCAGGACTCAGAACAGCCTGGGAGCTAGCACAGGGAAGAATTACAATACGTTATATAGAATACATGTCCATGCAATACTTAAATAATCTCAAACTCACTGTGTTGCACAAGAAAGGTAAGAGTTACTGTTTTGGTACAGTTTGTTTAGTGGGACTGCAGCCAACCTGTTGCTATGAATGAGGGCTCAGAGCTCATTGTGTTAATTGCTTCCCTGGAGTCACGTTCCACATGTCACCTTATGGTGCCCAGTGTCAGGGTGCAACTATGCTGTTAGAGAAAAAAGATGACTGACAAACCATTTCCTCTCAGAGGGTTTCATGGCACTCAACCTCAGGCCTGACCCCTCCATCAGGAAATGCTTAACCCAGTCGACGGGTGTCGTGACCCTATCGAAGGGGGAGTAGGGGGAGGCGTAGATGACTATCTAATTAACACTTCTTCACTTCAGGAGCAGCAAAAACCTAATAAACAAAATAGTGAGAAAAATTAAGTTCACAGAAATTCAGATTTTTTAGGCTCAGTTTGGAAATGGCTGGTGGAATTTTAGTTACAAAAATGGAAAAATAACTCGAGTGTAATTCTAACCCTAACTTTTATGACTTGTATGCAATGAAAATATGCAGATTTCACCCAGAAGAGGCTTAGATGTCATAGACTATTTTGTACTTTTAAAATTAAACAAAGATCCAGAATGTTCACTCATATGATAATTTCTGATCTTTCCTTGGTACTTTTTTTTAAGAGCTGCACTTTTAAGTTTAGAAGTGAATCTTTTTTTTTCTTTGTGTTTTGGGGTAAAATGTCTTTTTGTTGTTTTCTGTTGTTAAAAAAAGTTTTCCTTTAAATACCAAAGTTGTCTAAAAGTGAGATTTTAATTAAATAAATTCCCCTCAAAGCAAAGGAAGTCTGTTGATTTTAATCAAAGGACATCTAATTGCAGATTGTTGTCCAGTCGAGCGCCTAACTAATTGTAACAGCATGTCATTAAAAAGTAGATTAACCTTTGACCCTTAGAAAACAATAACACTTCCTTAAAAAGGCCTGGAAGCAATCAGACTTGGGTCGATATTTTTTCATGGAGCCACTCGCGTCTGCTTCGCTTTTCCCAAATGTGAGCGTGGATGCTCTTATGATTGATTTTGGAAGCAACTCATAAAAAGAGCAAACCCTTGGAGGAACCAACCGACTTTCTGGTCTGTTTGAATTTGAGATTGTGATTTTATAACACGTAGTGAAAGGAGAGAGTTATGAATGTTTAAGAGCATGACATTTGCGTTGAAATTTGAGCTCTTTATTTCATTCCTAAGATTTTTATCTCCCATTGTAATGAGGGGAGATGTAGGTTATGTTAAGGGGGAATGAGAGCACAACAGGGATGATAAGGTTAGTATCAGTGCTGTGGTCCATTAGTTTCCTTTGGGAAGGGGTTTATAAAATCATTTCACTCCTGCTTATCCTTTGTGGACGTGGACCTTTGCTATGCATTAGCTGAACTAACATCATGATTCATGACTTTTTAATCTAGGAAAGGTTACATGCACTATAGACCTGAGGGGTTTGGCACTATTGCAGCAAATCCATGACAGTCATTCATAGGGATGTCCCACTCCGATATTGATATCGGAAGTAATTCAATATTTGCCCAAATACACCGTATCGGATTACATAAGACTGCATCAAAAATCTCAGATATAAGCAGTCTGTTAAGGTTCAAATTTTGGTAACCAATTGTTAAAATAAAATGTCCTTTTTTCATAATAACAGTTGCTGACTTTTGTTCTCTGATTGAGTAGTATCACTTGATCAAGCCTTTCATACACCCACATTACGAAATAGGCAAAAGTATGTGTGATTTGTGCTGATATCGTATTGGATTGATATTGGTATCGGTCAATACTGAAGGCTGCAATATCGGTATCGTATCGGAAGTGAAAAAGTTGTATCGGGACATCCCTAGTCATTCAGTCATTTACCAAACCTGTTGGTCCAAAGTAGAGCTGCAGGGAGCTGGTGCCTATCTCCATCAGTAACCGGGCAAGAGGCAGGGGACTCTCTGGACAGGTCCATCACTAAGTCACACTTATACAAATAAGACATATAACCAGTCACACATTATCTCATGCAGCCCAAAGCCTCAACCTCGATAGATCTATTCTAGGGGCAACGTTAGGAGTTAGGTGCCCACCGGGTAACCAAAGGGCTGCAGGTTTGGACCCTTCTCAATCTGTCACAGTTATTTTGTCCACGGGCAAAAATATTCCCCCACTTTGGCTGTTGGTGGTGGTCAGAAAGAACCAGAGAAACATAGTGTGTAGGACAGTTACACCTCTGTTAGGTAGCCCCAGGACTGCTGTAGCTACGTTGTGGATCAACCAGTGTGTGAATGAGTGGATGAACGGCTATTGTGTTGTAAAGCACCTTGAGGGGTCCAGAACTCCAGAAGGCATTATCTAAATACAAAGCATTAACCATTTAGTATTATTTTTAATATCCAGACAAATTATTGACAATGGGGTTATTTTGACTGCTTAAAGATAATGATTGAAGATGTTTTGTAAAATAATAACAATAGCAGTAATTGCATTATTCTAAACATCAAAAGGTGCTCATTTAATTGTAAAGAGTTTGCCTGTGACATCTGTGCTGACCATGAGGTAGAAGAACAGTTGCCTAAGGGAGATCTATCAGCCCTGCTTGAATCCTGGGAGAGAAGCAGAGGGGTGTGGGGCTCTCAGAATTATTTTCATTCAGACCCCCCTCCCCCTTAAAAAACTTTTTTTTTATTCAAAGACGATAGAAACGCCGGCCCTCAGATGACAACTTATGAGCTACGTTTATTTTTTCACTGGAGTTGTCAGTGTCAATTGTCACCATTGAGTTTAAAGTAATTCTACTTATAGTAATATCAAGTGTATTGTTTGTCCAGAGAACCCACGAGTAATTAGGTACTTGGTTTAGTTTTGATTTTAACGTACTGTTTCTTGTGCTGTGCATTATTCAAAAAGCCTAGTTTCCAATTCCCAAACCAGGCAATCTGAATTCAGACTAGCTAGGAAACCACAGACCAATAAGGAAATAGGGCAGCGCTGTGTGCTTTCTGCCAACTAGACAAGAAAAGCTAAAAGCTGCATAGGTTCAGTCATTTCAGTGCAGATGGTGTAGTGCATCACTTTTGCAGCTTGTCACAGTTTCTCGTTGGTTTTTGTATGAGAATATGCCAAAAAAATAATTATTTGTAAGTTTTGTTCTGTTGTCCAAGAAAATTATTTATCAGAGCTGGCCCACAGGATGATTATTTAATCTAAATCTACATTACAGTTAAAGAGTGGACATTTTCTAAAGTGGTGTATTTATTTGATGAGACCAATATGACTTAATGCAAACTGGAAATCATTCTCTCAGTCTCATTCATTTGCATAAACATGTAGAGGTTATCTTTATGTCAGATATACGTTGCCGAATACAGGATGTGAAATAAGTCTGTTTGTAGTGTTTGTCTACAGCTGGACCAAAGCATGTTGATTCATCACTGGGGGAAGAAACGGAAATACCAATGCCCCCAAAAAAATTTACTGGGTGTAGAGTGATTAACATACTTGTCTGTTAAAAATAGATTTACAACAAGTCTCCTCATATGTTTTATTTTTTTGGTTTGTTTTATACTGATGAAAAATTCAAGTAGAGCCCCCTTTCTATAGTGTACATCAATTTAGCATTCAATGTGGAATTAAATTCAACGTGTAACCAATAATTCTGTCTGTTTCTATCTGCCCCACCCTTGTCTGTTTTCAGGATGGTTCCAAACAGAAACAGGTCAGGAAGAAAACCGTGTCCTTCAGCTCAATGCCGAGCGACCGTAAGATCAACAGCACAGCTGCTTGCATTGCCTTTATGATGGAGGGTTGTGAGATGAAGAAAGTGCGCTCCAACTCACGCATGTACAACCGCTACTTCCTGCTCGACCCAGACATGCACTGGCTCCGATGGGAGCCATCTAAGAAGGATTCAGAAAAAGCCAAATTGGAAATCAAAAGCATTAAGGAAGTCCGTTTAGGGAAGAAGACCCCTGTTCTACGCAGCAATGGTCTCTCTGATCAGTTTCCTGATGAGTGCGCCTTCTCAATAATCTATGGAGACAACTATGAGAGCTTAGATTTAGTTGCCAGTACAGCAGATGTGGTCAGCACATGGGTCATGGGCCTAAGATATTTGGTGTCCTATGGCCGACACACTGTGGACATAGTGGAACCCAGTCAACCAAGCCTAAGAACATCTTGGATTGGCTCAGTCTTTGAGCTAGCTGACATGGAAAAAGATGGACTTATAGACTTATTCAGAGCAACTCAGATAATCAAGGGTCTCAATCCTGGTATGAAAGAATCTAGGATAGAGCTGAAATTTAAGGAATTACAGAAAGCCAAAGACCAATATGGGGAAGCTATTAACATGGACACGTTTGTGGAGGCTTATTGTGAGCTCTGCACACGACCAGAGATTTTCTTCCTGTTAGTTCAGTTCTCCAGCAACAAGGAGTACCTGGACAGTAAAGATCTGATGCTGTTTGTGGATGTGGAGCAGGGTGTGGAGGGCGTGACGGAAGAAATGTGCAGGGATATTGTTCAGAAATTTGAGCCGTCGGCCAAAGGTAGAGAAAAGGGCTACCTTTCCATTGACGGTTTTACACACTACCTCCTGTCCTCTGAATGCCACATTTTTGACCCGCAGCACAAACGAGTGTGCCAGGATATGACCCAGCCTCTTTCCCACTACTATATAAACTCCTCACATAATGCCTCCCTTCTAGATGACCATTTCTGGGGTTCATCAGACATCAGCAGCTACATTCGAGCTTTAAGGATGGGATGTCGCAGCATTGAGATCATAGTATGGGATGGCCCTGACAATGAGCCAGTGGTATATGTAGGTAGTTCTGTTGCTTCACAACTAGCTTTCTCTAAAGTTCTGGACATTATAAACCAGTATGCTTTTGAAAGCTCTGAGTATCCTCTTATTCTCTGTTTGGTGACCCACTGCTGTATTCCTCAACAAAGAGTCATGGCACAACACCTAAAGAAGATTCTTGGGGACAAGCTATACCTTGAACCCCCCAACAATGAGGAAAACTACTTACCCTCTCCTCAGAAACTTAAAGGTAAAATACTCCTCAAGAGTAAAAAGTTGCCACCCAACTGCACTGATACTGAAGGTGATGTAACAGATGAGGAGGAGGGCCTGGAAATGTCCAGAAGAGTTGGAGCTGATGAGAAGGACCAACTGAATGGTTTGGGCTACAAGAGACTTAGGCTCTGCAGAGAGCTATCTGACCTTGTGTCTTTCTGCAAGTCAGTGCAGTTCAGGGACTTTGAAATCTCCAAGAAGGAACAGAAATACTGGGAAATGTGTTCCTTCAACGAGGTGGATGCAAACAGATTTGCCAATGAATTTCCAGAGGAATTTGTCTGCTATAACAAGCGCTTCCTCTCCAGGGTATATCCCACATCCATGAGGATCGATGCCAGCAATATGAATCCCCAGGATTTCTGGAAGTGTGGTTGTCAGATTGTGGCAATGAATTACCAAACACCAGGCCTGATGATGGACCTTAACCTTGGTTGGTTCAGGCAAAATGGCAACTGTGGGTATGTTTTGAGGCCAGCCATCATGAGAGAGGAGGTGTCCTACTTCAGTGCCAATGCTCGGGATTCCTTGCCAGGAGTGTCAGCTCAGCTTCTCCACATCAAGATCATCAGTGGCCAGAATCTGCCTAAGCCTCGTGGCTCTGCTGCTAAGGGTGATGTGGTTGAACCCTACATATACGTAGAAATCCACGGCATACCAGCTGACTGTGCCGAGCAACGAACCAAAACTGTGTCCCAGAACGGAGACAATCCTATTTTTGATGAAAGCTTTGAGTTCCAGATTAATTTACCAGAACTTGCAGTTTTACGCTTTGTGGTTCTGGATGATGACTACATTGGAGACGAGTTCATTGGCCAGTACACCATCCCGTTTGAGTGCCTACAACCAGGCTATAGGCATGTCCCACTACAATCTCTCACAGGGGAATTCCTTCCCAACACCACCCTATTTGTTCATGTGGCTATTACCAACAGGCGAGGTGGAGGAAAGGCACATAAAAGGGGTATATCTGTGAAGAAGGGTAGGAAGGCCCGAGAGTATACCACCACCAAGACCACAGGAATCAAAGTAGTAGATGAACTCTTCAGAGCTTCCACCCAGCCCCTCAGAGAGGCTACGGACCTCAGAGAAAATGTTCAGGTAAGAAGAAAATACACTCATTAAATCAGAAAATCATCACGTTGCTCTTAGGCTGACTGAGCAGCCCTGTGAAGGAGCTTCAGATGTTTCCATTGCATTCATTGTCTTTTCACATTCCAACATTTTCATTTAAATCAGCAAGTAAATGTGGTAACAGATCCATATTACATCCAGTTCTCTCATCGTTCCATCATGTATATTTCTCTGGGTTTATTTTGATCATCAGAATTTATTCAGGTCAGGTTTGTGTGATTGCTGATGACATGGGTTGGTTATGCATAATGCATGATGTTTAGTTGTTGTTTTATTTAGAGCAGGACTAACGGACACCATTGTCTATTGTAGTATTTCTGGTCACATACTTTATAATGGCAGGTTTCACAGCTTAAGTCCTATTTAAAATGCTTGTAGTAATCTACATCCAACATACCTTCATAACTTAAGGTACTGCCTACAAACATTATGGCTTACATACTTTACAACTCAGTACTGTGTTCATACAGAGTGCAAGGCTAAAGAAGGCTCAATCTTTAAATGAATTGTCTTTAGATGTTGAAAATGATTGTCAGCCTGTTGTGAATATCAAATTTAGACTTAAAGTAAATTACTGATAACTTTTGGAGTTTATGTAAGTATTCATGTTGATGGCTATTCTATCTATTAGAGCAGAATTTTGTTCTTGCCAGCTTTCTTTAAGCTCATCTGAAACTTTGAACACAAATAACTTTGAGCTATTTTCCCACCAGGGATGATTAACAAATACATCAATTAGAAGTACACATGCAGCATCCAAAATTTTACTCTGAAAAGTTATAAACTTCATCATTTAGCATAAATCTTCCCAACATGATGTGCTTTAGATTGTTTTAGATGTTCAGTTATCCTTAATAATGCTGTGATAATAGTTTATGATGATAACGTGGCAGTGCTGTACAGTTGTGACTTTTATTAATTAGGGATGTCCCGAAACAACTTTTTCACTTTCGATACGATACCGATATTGCAGCCTTCGTATTTATTTATTTATTTTTTTTACGTGTCCTGTCTGGCTGTGAAGCAAGCAGAATTGATGTCTGAATGCTGGTGACAAGCCTTACAGATTTATTCTCAGGTGGAGCATCAAAGCGTCTGCTTTTAATGTCACGCCTGATACTTAAAACTTTATTGTTATTGTTGTTGAATGCTTTGTAATTCCGACCAGACACGGAGACAGAGGTGAAAGAGAAAGGAAAAGAAAAGGTGGGGAGAGAGAGGGGGGGGTTCCACAAAAATAAACAAAAATGAACAAGAGTCTGCTTCTAGATCTGCAGCAGAAAAAAAGACAAAAAAAAAAACAAAGGGACACAAAAAAGGGACACAACAACAATACAACAAGATCTACCTATCACTGCGTCAACTTGATGAAAAGAAAATATATATATATATATAATCAATATTGCTTAACTGAAGAATCACGATAATAAATCACAACGCATTAAGTGCCCCCCATAGTCTTAAGACATGTGTTTAAAGTGCCCAAGCCCATACTTTTGAGAGCACCATGTGAGCACCTGTGTGTGTACACGCGCTTGTTTATTTAAGGTTTTTCTATAGGAGCGCCCAACAGAGAGTGTGAGGGACCACAGATCCGCCCCCCAAAGATGCGCAGGAGATGGGGGGAGCTCCAAGTCCCAGAGATCCAGGCGCTGCCCCAGAACGCAGGAGCCCCAAGGAGACTGCAACCAGGAAGGCCCCCGCCCCCCTCGAGAGGCACAGAGGATCGCCCCGGGGGGGCCACAACCAGCAGCCGGCAGAGTCCCTGGAGATATCAGCGGCAAGCCCACAGGCCCGCCCGCAGCCTCCCACCCCCTAGCCGGCCGAGCCCGGGACCCAGCGACCCGGGACCCAGGGGCGACCACCCCCGCCGGGGACCCAGCAGAGCCCAGGGACCCAGACCCCACCAGGCAGCCACCGGGATCTAACAGGCAGATGCCAAAATCTTAAACCCCCAGACCCGGTTGCCACGAACACTCAGGCAGACCAAGGCACAAGCCCCCACACCAGGCGTGGCAGGGGGAGGGGGGACAGAGATCTATATCATCAAGAGAAGTTCCAGGAGAGGGGAGGACCCAAAGGCCCCACCTGACATATACAGTCATACACAAACACAGTCACACGCTCTCTCCCTCATTCTCACACATGGACATACAACCCAAGACTTACAAAAATGCATGCCGGACACCCACTCATGCTCCCCATACACACCCTATTCACTCTGGTCCCGGTACTGCTGCACATTGGGTACAACCATCACCGGTAACCAGAGTTTAACCCTTTCTGCTGGGGTGCTGATGAGCAGGCTCCCCCGCCCAACGCTGAGCACAGCAACCTACCACCCCAGACCCCAACCAGACGGCCAGATCTCCCTCCTAGCCTCCAGCCCCAGGAAGCCTAGCAACAACAGAGGTGGCTAAGACCCCTAGTCTCCCTCCGCCTGCTCCAATATAGTGTTGTGTGATCATGAGGTGTATTCCATGGCTGTGGTGAGTGGGCAGTGCGGGCATCATCCAGCATATGCCAGCTGATGCCACTGCACCACCCCACTTACACCCTCAGCCATCAGTGTCTAAGTGCGGTTTAAAATTGGAAGTGGGCACCGGCACTCGGGAGGAGGCTGAAATATCCCCCTGCCAAATGCCGTTGAATGTGCTCACTCCCAAGGCCCTAAGTGTGTGTTTGTGTGGAATGTCGTCAGTGGAAGTGTATAAGGTGCAAGTAAAATTGGGGGGCAGGTTTCCACAGGAATGCGGAAATGGGGTCCATACCCGCACTCCCTGACTTGCCTACCCCCCAAGGTCCTATGTGTATGTTTGTGTGATGATGTGAGGGAGCAGGAGGAGAGAAATATGCGGGGATGGGGAGGAATGGCTTGTTGGGCTTGGCCCTCCAGGGAGCCAGCTCCCCTACTGGCCCCAATAGGCACCTCTGTTGTCAAACTGCCACCCAGGGCATGGAGACCCCAGCCCATCCTGCCAGGGCCCAAAGCAGCAGCATTACAGAGCCTCACGGAGTCCGAGGGCACCAACCCAGCCCCACCCCAGCAGAATATCTATGCCCACCCCTGCATTTGCACAACTTCCAGAATATATAAGACATGGGACATCCAGGTAAGGTTGGGTCCTCCCCCTCCTGGACCTCCCCCTCCCCTGTGATGGAACGGCAGAGGAGCCAAGGTCTACCTGAGGCCCCCGAACCCGAGCCAGGCACTGCTGGGTGTCCCTGCCTTCTTCCCGGCAGCATACATGTCAGGACCCGACCCCCAAGGCCCCGCCCAGATCCCCACACAGGGCCGGCTACCCCCAAACCCCGAGCCCCCAGGCCCCCACCCAGACCCGCCCAGGGGCATTGCAGCCGCCAGGCAGTGACCCATGGCCGCCGCCAAGATCCCCAAGGGGCCTCACTCACAACCGCCAGCAGTCCACCCCCCGAGGCAACCCAAGCACCTCCAGAGGGGGGCAACTTCATCATTTAGCATAAATCTTCCCAACATGATGTGCTTTAGATTGTTTTAGATGTTCAGTTGTCCTTAATCATGCTGTGATAATAGTTTATGATGATAACGTGGCACTGCTGTACAGTTGTGACTTTTATTAATTAGGGATGTCCTGATACAATTTTTTCACTTTCGATACGATACCGATATTGCAGCCTTCAGTATTGACCAACACCGACATCAATCCGATACGACATCAGCACAAATCACACATACCTTTACCTATTTCGTAGTGTGGGTGTATGAAAGGCTTGATCAAATGATATTACTCAATCAGATAAAAAAAAGTCAGCAACTGTAATTATGAAAAAAAGGACATTTTATTTTAACAATTGGTTACAAAAATGTGAACCTTAACAGACTGCTTAAACCTGAGATTTTTGATGCAGTCCGATGTAATCCGATACAGTGTTTTTGGGCCGATATCGAAAAACTTCTGACATCGATATCAAAACGGGACGTCCCTATTATTAATAGTCTAATAATTAAAGATGGACAGGTACGAGTCAGTGCACAGGACTGTGTTGCAAGGCACTTTGTGGAACACTAAAACATTTTTAAATGAGCTAATATGATTTGTAATTTCTGCACTTTAAAAACAAATACTCAAACTGGCAAAAGAAGTTATTGTTTTAATCTAGTTTAGTCTAAATATGGAGTTAAAACTTAAATTATGTCTGTTTTATGGTTTTATCACTCATAGACAACTATAAGCACTGAGAAATCCATCCTCTATATATAAGATGATGTTTGAAAAAAATGTAAGAAAATCCTTTAAAGGTAACAAAACTATACATGGTGACATTTGTGGGGAAAATTAATGCCCCCTTGGAATATTATTAATAGATTACATACGATTAAACACATTATATGGAATGCTGAGTTAAATTCAGCGAGTCACCAGATACTTTAAGACTCAATTTCTTTGATAAGTTTGCATGACAATTAGAAGTTCATTGAATGATCATATAATCAACATATTGTGCTCAATTCTAAAGAAATTAAAACAAAAAGACACAGAACACCGTCTAAAGCTCTACAGGCATCAGGTTAAAGCCACACTTTGCAACTTTGTCATGTTTTTTATCATTTTCTGCAACGTCAGACTGCCGGTCTGGTTCTTACATACCTGGTGATGCAGTCTGCTTCTTACACGTTTCCTGCATGTTTTAGATCTTGAACACAGCTGATTTGTTTAACTTAGTTATGAATCCCTCTTGTAGACACTAATGAAGGCTGGGGAGACATTTCAGCTGCTAGATTAAGGTTTTAAAATACGAACGCAAAGAAAGGAGATAAGTTTCACTTTTGGTTCTACTAACAGACACTAGGGGGTGCTAAAAGCAAGCAAAACTGCCTACTGTGCCTAAAGTCAGAGGCCATGGTTCAACAATCTTTTTTTTATATGATAAAATCTCTAAAAACATAAACAGATGAATAAGTAAGCACTTAGTGTTGATGTATCTTAACCCTCCCACTGTCCTAATGGGTGACCCCACGAGGAAAGTTGACCGTTGAGCAGGATTGATGGTTTATCCCTTGGGTCCATGTGGCAGGGGTGAGGTGGGGTGAAGAGTGAGCACCACCCCACCCCTGCCACATGGACCTCAAGGGATAAACCGTCATTCCTGCTCAGCGGTCAACTTTCCTAGCGGGGTCACACATTAGGACAGTGGGAGGGTTAAGGATCTAGTTAAAAATAACTCCTACTCTAGAAAAGTAAATGTTCCAATGTTATTATGTTTATTCAAAAGACAAAATATTGTTCATTGCATTTATAAAGATATGTATGCTTTAATATTTTTAGAATAATATATTTGATTAATTTGGAATTTTGAAAAGCCTCCAAAGGATCCGTCTAATTTGTCATAATCTCTTTTATTCTAGAAGGTCTAAAAATGATGGATAAGAAATGTCTGACAGTCCAATAAAATTACCAAATTAGACATTGTGGCTTCTGTAAAATGGCAATCAATTAAGTCATGCAAAATTTGGAATTAATCACAGTCCTGCTTCTGTCACAGATACGAGTCTAATCTGAGCTATAAATCATCTCAGATAACGATTGGCCTCAGAATTTAATCTGTGGGCCTGTTTGAAAAATGGCGTTTGGGGATTGAATATGAGTCTGCGTTAACCTGATCAAATAATACTGGAGGCAATAAACGCTCACCAGGCCTCATTTTCCTCAGGTTTGAAATGCTAATTTGTCTTTTTGAAATGAAGATAAAAGTTCATGAGATAAATGAAGGCTCTGAAATTGTCACAAAGGGTATGAATAAATGCAAAAAAGGCCTGTTCCCTTTTAAATGTAAAAATAAAAGACAGTTCTGAAGACTTTGTAGAGGTAGCGTGCGTGCATGCTTGTGTCCTGGATATGGAGGCACCTGTGAAACCAAACAGCAAACAGAAGCAAACATGAAAGCTTTTAACCTGCTGGCTTCCCAACTACTAAATAGATGCCAACAGGACCAATTTCAGATTTTTATGCTCATGTCATAAAAGTAATTCTCATTCATGCTTTTCTGTGGAAGTTCTGCTTGTATTTTATCCTCTGGAAGCTTTGTAAAGACTTTCCCCCCTCAAACAGCAATGCTTCCATGGGATCTGCTTTGAATAATAAAATAAATAGGGCCACATTTAGCTATTAGGAAAGACAGTTGGAGTCTGTAAGCACAGACAAATGGGTGTGTGTGATAGATTTCCATGTTTCATATGTGGATAAAGACAGTGGATCAATTGCTTTTGCAGTAGTCAAGCGCGCCCAGTGAAGCCTGTAAAGTGTGAATAGAGATAGAGGAGTGAAGCCAGGCTGGAGTTTGATTTTATTTGCTGAAACGTTTCAGTGCCATCATTGACACATTAGAGCTGCAAGCTGGAAAGGAAGAGAGGGAGACAGAGATGGAGAGACAAAAGCAGAATGAGAGTCAGGAAGAAGCTGGGCAAACAGAAACAGCAGAGCTGTAACCGGACACTGAGCCCTCATTTGGGGAAAGTTGGAAGAGGAATAAAGTGGGGGGAAGGGAGTAATTAAAAACACAAGTCTCCCTCTTGTGGGGTTTTGTAACGCTGTGATCTGGAGACAGCGTGGCTTTTATTTCACAATCATTATCAAATAATACTTATGCATGTGGTCACATACACACATGCAGGAATTTATTCAAGGCGCTGTAATAACTCCATACCCTGCTGAGACACCGGCAACCAGAACGCGCGCGCACGTACGCACACTCACGCACATACACACACACACACACACACACACGCACGCACACACACGCACACACACACACGGTGGATTTAATCCAGAGCCTCAGCGTGTTGTTTTATCCTGTAGCTGTGTCCAGGACGTATAAAGTGTGTGTGAGGTTCTGAATACTGATGCTCTTTTTCCTAGCCACACTCTTTGTCTATAAGAAGGCCGTGCCTCATAGTAACAGCACATCCTCAAAGGTATGAGGGGTTTTTCTTTTAGCCTGAAGGTCTAGCCCAGGGATATAACAGCTTCTCACCCAGAACATTACTGAGTAATGAACTGAACCCCTAATACCTCTCTAGCCTGTACTCTGTAATACTGGATATACAATTATTTCTTGGATCTTCTTCTGTTGTCCTTCATGCAAATTATCTGTGTTTCTAACAGGGTCTTAGTTCACGTCATCATCCCCAGGCTGCATTTCTGGATTATGTTTATGTTTATATTTATTCATTTAGCAGACGCTTTTATCCTAAGCGACTTACAATATATAGCCTACAGGGCGTGTTGTGATCTGTGGGGGAAACCGGAGTACCCGGAGGAAACCCACACATGCATGGGGAGAACACGCAACTCCACGCAGAAAGGCCGCAGTCAAGTTTCGAACCTGCAACCTTCGTGCTGCGAGGCAACAGTGCCAACCACTGCTACCCTATGTTTGCTTTAGCTCTTTCTTTGCTTTTTACTCCGTACCCAAGCTCCAGCGTGGTTACCAGTTTCTCATGCTGACAGTTGCATATTGATAAGGGCGGCTAAGATTTAAAACCAAGACAAGCTGCATTTGTGGACCGAAAATTACCCTGGCAAAGGATTTGTGATGAGTGAAACAGGGAGCTGGGCTTCGAGCACACTTGAGATGAAGCAAAATTTAGCAGAGCAAACTGCAACTGGACAGATATGGTGTACATACACACAAAGATCTACATTAGATAGATGGCTTGTGTGGTATTGATAGTGTTTCACCAGTTAAATGAATTACATTTTCAGATTTAATAAATCCAAATCAGCATTCCTTTTTTAATATCTGAGGGGATTGTAGAGCTACTTATCATGACTCATGCAATATAGCTTTAAAATGAAAGACACCTGCAGGGAGACATTTGGGGTTAAGTTTAGCTCAAAGACATGATGTGCAAATGTTAGCAGACCTGTGCAGCTAACTGAGCCTCAGCTGTCCCTGGTTATGAATACGATCTATGGGTAGGAACTGAATTTAACTCAGACATGTCGATGCTGAGATTTAATTATCCAGAAGGAGAAATCTACAAGTTTATGACGTTTTCATTTTTAATGCTTTCTGCATCTATGGATGGAGAAAGAAACGAGGAGATGAATCAGTGGGAGCAGAAGTTTTGCCTTTTAGTCAACAGATGAATAAACTGATTCTGGATGAGGCATAATTCTACATTCACAAGAAAAAAACATCCAACTGGAAAGTCACAGTTTCATCATAACTATGACTCATATTTCATAACATGATCCCAATTTGAACATGTGTCTTTGATAGACACACCCGAACTTACTGTAGCTTCCTGTTTTGTGTGTTTTCTTCCCAGAATGCCATGGTGTCCTTCAAGGAGCTCTGCGGCCTGACTCCTGCAGCCAACATGAAGCAGTGTATTCTGACCGTTTCCACCTGGCTGATGAACAGTGAGCGATCTCTGAGGGTAACGGTGGATCTGAGTGAGACCTACCCCACTATGGAGGCCCAGGGACCAGTCCCAGAGCTCTTGCGCAAAGTGCTGAATGCCTATGACATGGTAAACCGTCAGCACACACACGGGAAGGAGGGTAGTGAACGTCTCAGAACTGAGTTCAGACAGACGTCTCAGTAATGCAGCTGGATGTAAGGGGATAGCTGGAAATACATCTGTTCTGGGGTATCAGACTCATTACTTAAATCTAAATAGTTTTATTATTTGAATTTTAATTAACAGAATTTATTAAATATCTAGTATTATATGTTCAATCGTCTTTGCTTGTTGATCTTGTTTTTCTTCCAACTTGGTTCATTCTCAACGTTTTGTTAATGTTAACAAAAATATATATTTTTTAATAATGTTGAATAAATAAATATTGAATAATGTTCAAATATTATAATTTATTATTTAATAATTATGTATTATATTTATTATTTAACATTGAGAACATCAGATGTCACACTGATATTCTACAGAACGGGTCTGGTGTTGGCAGCCATGAAGTCAGCTTAACCTAATAAGCTTCACATGCACGTACACACACACACACACACTATATATATATATAGATACAGGATATAGATAGATATAGATTAAGGTAGAGTTGCTAATGCTAACAGTTAGCTTCTACTAGTCGAAGCCTCTGCGGTTTCCTGGACGCTAAACCGACAGCAGCCCTCCCCGTCACGAGCCAAGATGGATGAGAAATTTGTTATCCGCATTTGACCCATCCCCTGGGGGAGCGGTGAGCTGCAGACACAGCCGCGCTCGGGAAATGTTTGGTGGTTTAACCCCCCCCAATCCAACCCCGTAATGCTGAGTGTCAAGCAGGGAGGCATTGGGTCCCATTTTTTCAAAGTCTTTGGTATGACCCGACCAGGAATCGAACCCCTGATCTCCCAGTCTCAGGGCGGACACTCTACCACTAGGCCACTGAGAAAGGTAAAGTTAAAGTCCCATTAGTTGAAACTACATGTCAACCTGATTCCATAACCACTACACCACCACATCTAAGTGACAGTGGGACGTAGATCTGTCAGGATTTATAAATCCTAGTTTCACCGTCTGTTTTCTATCAGAAGCTGATGCAGGAGATGGGTGTAGGAGACTATTTTCATGTTTGGCCAGCATGAAAAACTCCGTGACAAATTATAATAAGAAAAAAAATTTTTTCGGCGAACTGCACCTTTAATTAGGCAAACCGAACCCTCTTGGTGCTTTAGATTTACAGCTCGCTATTCTAAGAAAAGAACAATCACAATACTTTATTCTTTTCATAAAATATTTTTTGCCATCTTTGTTGTTAAGCAAAATAAAAAGCTCCACAAGTTCTTTTAACTTTTTGGCCCATGTGGCAAAAGGTTTAAACACGTCAGGTCAGGTTTACATTGGGGGGGGGGGGGACCCAAATCTAGACTAAACTAACTTGTGTTGGCCTCAACTCCTGCCTTATGTTACTGTCTATGGTTCTGATGATAAATGTGCTTCTTGTAAATCTACTAGTATCAGTCCCACTGAGTGGTTGTAATGTTCTCTCATTACTGTGACTTATAGTGTTTAGAAGGATGACTGCAGTGAGAGCAGCACATCTCCACTAGCATCTGAACTCATTAGCTCTGTACACACTGATCAGGTTTAATCTGTTTTACACCCTGTGTCTATCTGCTGCTTGGACTGTGCACGCAGCAGTGCACAGACTGTTGCACAGGCCAGACAGCTTCACTTCAGCTTGTATTTTAATGTAAACACACCCAGTGTTTTTTTCACACTGCATGGTGCACCATATGTCACCGCGTAGGACTGCTTCGTGTTTTAAATGAGTGATGTGTGCACAGATGCTGCCCAAACCCTGCAGCTTTCTTTTAATTCTCACTTTAGCTTCTCCAGCTTGTGACTTTAACTTTATTGCATTAAAAAGTTCAACAATAATGCAAATAAGTAAAAATTGTTATCACACAGCGTCAGCTTGGTTATGCGATTGTACTGAAGCTTTTCTTTCAGTAAACACTTGAGATAAACCTGGTTTAGATACACATCTGTTGATGTGAAACACCCATGTTTTATTTAGCTCCACTGAGCTGCCAAAGCAGATCCTTTTCCTTTTTCTTATATAAATCCCAAACTGTTAAACACATGATGAGCACTCACCGAGCTGGACAAATATTACAACGCTCCTTGACATGACCCGAACCACCAGCAGTAATTGACCCATCAATCTGTCAAAATGCAGCTACTCATTGCATAAATACACATGTTCCTCGCCATCTGGCCTTCTCATGTAGAAAACGGCATAGTTGTCACTATTTGACACTTGGACACGTCAGAAACGAGTTATCTACAGGTTTTCCACTCCAGAGCTCATCGTTTGGAGAGGTCTTGTTTGAGTTGGTGTCACGAGGCAGTTGTTAGGGCGCAGCTTCGATGCTGCTCATGTCAACTCTGCATATTTCTACGGTGCTGGCTTTATAATGTTTTTCGGGATCAGGACTGACAAACAGGCCTATATGCCAGTTTATCTTAGTTTATTTTAACAACACCACATAAAGCACAAAAAAGCAATGACATTTTCTTCTGTATACTTACATTATTTTCCATTTTTTTTAATTTGTCACGTAAAATAGAAAGTGTATCTTTTTCAGAGTGAAATTTAAGGATATAATATAATATATTATACTTATTTAATAGGAATTATATGGTCTAGCATGATGCTTTGTATTCGATACTGGGGCAGAGCAGCAGAGTGTATGCTTCCTGCTGTCACACTCACTGTTGAAGAACAGAGGGCTGAGTGTGTGTGTGTGTGTGTGTGTGTGTGTGTGTGTGTGTGTGTGTGTGTGTGTGTGTGTGTGTGTGTGTGTGTGCGTGCGTGCGTGTGTGTGTGTGTACATGCATGTGAGGCTTATTAGGTTAAGCTGACTTCATCGCTGCCAACACCAGACCCGTTCTGTAGGATATCAGTGTGAAGTCTGTGTTCTCAGTATCGTGCGTGTGGGTTATTGCCAACAAACATTATGACCCCTTGCAAAACAAAACATCAGATGGCAAATTGTTGACTTTGGATCTTAAGTAGAAGAACCACCTCTCACAGGAAGAGCGGGGCTGGAGGAAAGAAGTTTGCATGAACACGCTCATCCACGCAGGGTGACAGTCGACTTTCTGTCTCCCACAGGAGACTGAAACTTAATTATCCTCCTCCTTTGTGCTGCAGCACTCATCCAACTGCTCCCGATCAGCTCTATTGGATGATGTGTGTGCAGCACACCAAACATTGTCCAGGTCTGAAGTCAAATGTCTGCCTCTGTTCACCTTCTAGTGGAATTAACATGGTTTGTTGCAACATCTGAGAGAATCTGTTCTCACAAAAAGCTAATTTGGTGAAGGTCCAATTACTCAGTAAGGAGAAACACATTTTAATGAGCTTAATTGTGTCTGGTACCTTTTTAACACAATGTGATGAGCTCTTAAGAATTACCATGGACAAGCCTATGGAGGAGAGGGGATGGAAAGCAATACCATTCCAATACTTCCTTGAAAAACTGATATTTTACTTCCCTTTACTAAACCGGTTTGCTTTAGTTAAATGAAACAGTTTATAGAGGAAACATTGTGAAACACCGATATTCTGCCCACAGACTGGTTTTACACAAACAGACGTGTGTGTTGTCTAATAAAATGGAGAGATGCGTTATGAATTCTCTCTGGCTCGCTCACAAAAAACACAAATCCACAAATTAGCCTAAAGAAATCGTTTGATAATGATTTCATTTCCATTTGGCTGTGCAGTGGTTAGGGCTGTTGCCTTGCAGCAAGAAGGTCCTGGGTTCGCTTCCCAGCCTGGGATCTTTCTGCATGGAGTTTGCATGTTCTCTCTGTGCATGCGTGGGCTCTCTCCGGGTACTCCGGCTTCCTCCCACAGTCCAAAAACATGACTGTTAGGTTGATTGGTTTGTCTAAATTGTCCTTAGGTGTGTGTGCATGATTGTTTGTCCTGTGTGTCTCTGTGCTGCCCTGCGATGGACTGGCTATCTGTCCAGGGTGTACCCCGCCTGATTGCCCGTTGACCGCTGGAGATAGGCACCAGCCCCCCCACGACCCTACGTGGACAAAGCGGGTTCAGACAATGGATGGATGGATGGATGGACTTCCATTTGATACCAGTCCCATAGTTTATTGACATGTAGCTTTCCTAGAATTATGCACAGATTTCGGTTTTGCTGGGTAATACTGATTTAGGATTGTAGTGCCACTCTGACCTGCTGATACAAACTTTAGCTAAACTTTATGCACTTTAAAAAAAAATCTATATTTTAAAATAATTTGTATCAACATGTAAGCAGACGGTGTTTTCCGATCACCAGGGATTTGAGTGCATCTCTGTTTTTGTGCTGCCCTCCGTTTCATGGCTACACAACTGCTAGAAGCTTTCAGAGAAGTTGTTGTGTGACGTTGAGACACAATGCACATGAAAGCAATGTCCCTTTTGTCTTCTAGATGATCCAAACCAGCAAAACCCTGATTGAGTCAGCTGATGTCGTCTACTCTAAGCTCACACAGGCACAACGCTCAGGTATGCAGCAGCATCTAAAACAATGTTGTTGTTTTTTTTTTTCTTTTGCCAGAAGTCTTTCGTTTTAAGTACAATTCAAACTAAAACGAAAGGCTGCAGGATTTCTCCGTGAGACTGACTCACAATTCAAGGACATGTACCAGATATGAACCACATTTCCAAACTTATGGCTTATTTCTTTTTTCTGAAAATAAAAAACTGAAATTCACATAAAGGAACACAAACGTCCTCCAAAACACTTCCAGATCTCCTGTTTCAAGATCCAAACTGAGTCACGTGCTCAAATTCAGTTCTGCAGCCTTTTTGTTAAAAGTTACACATCCTTGTGCCCGAAAGAAACGTTATGATGTACCCACTCCCACAACTCCATCAGCAGCAGCAGCACCATGCTGTCGATAGAACAGGCCGTCAGCAGTGAGTCAGAGCAGAATAGTTGTGGGCAGCGGGCAGGTGAAAACCATCAAACATCCAAACTGACAAAGGGTTGCACGGGAAAGAGGACAGAGAGTGTAAACATCCTTTGAAAGGAGGAGAGAAATTAAAATGTTTGACGGAAAGTGCAAAAAGGGAGGAGGCATTAGAATAAAAAGACAGTAAAAGGCAAAATTAATCTATTTAATCAGTTTTGTGTGCTTTTATTTATTTTTAATGGGTGTAACAGATCCATCTGTCTTGGACAGATGATAAAATTGACTTAGATAAGATTGTTATTTGGGAAATGGCTTTGAATCAAGGACTTGTGCGTGATTTCCTCACCAGGCTTTTACACTCTGCACTAATTCTTCCCTATTTGCTTTGCTGCTCTGCCACGCAGCAGTGACTCGGCTGAAGAGCTCCTCACGTCCGAGTGCCGAGTTTGAATACTGACATCTTCATTCTGCAGGTTCTTGCCTCACATTCTACTGCAGACCAAAACAAATGTAAAATGTACAGATTCAGACTAATTATAGGCCTTAATATAGCTGCAGTAAACCTGGAAAACAGTATTTTATGCATCACCGTTGTTGTGTGTGATAGATAACTGGGGCTCAGTCGCTGGCATATAATATCCTGAAGCAAATAAGCCATTCTAAGCCTCCCCTGCCCAGCTTTACACCCTGGCGTCTCACACAGGGAGGCACATCCTTGACTCTCTGCAACAGAACAAGCTAACCTGATATCCGTGCTGTGTAATTACGCAGGGATGGAGTCTGAACGTTGGGCTTCAGTCACAGAGCTTTCTCCTGGCTCCAGGTTTCCAAACCCAGAGCTGGAAGCATGTTCAAAGGAGATGGCTTCAGAGTTGAGTAGAGTTGAAACCACACAGCCACAGCGGTTTCTGTGCCCCTCTTCATTCTGCTGCGGGCAGGTGAAAGACTGCATGTGCTGCAGTGAGATAATCACACAACAATGTTCATCTGAAATATCTGAAAAGATTTTAATCTATTTAAAAATTCAAACATTGAAGCTTTTCTCTGAGTTGCACAAACATAACCCCCACAGGCTAACTGGGGGGAAACAGAAGGGCCTAAATTTAGAGCTACTGATGTTTTTCATGTAAGTGAGAAGAATGATATGCTCAGACAAACTGGTAGCAGAGACAGCCCTAAGGCGCCTCAGCTGCATGCCAAACATAGCACTTACCCCATCGCCCACTCCCAGTCAGTACCCTGAGTACGAGTACAGATGACTCGAATAAAACTTTGGCCAGTCGCAAACGTTATGTCGATTTTAAATTAAATATGTCTCCATAGATGCATCCATTGTCGTTTTCATAGCAATACATCAGGCATAAAGAAAAATAGAGTTGAGAAATATCTGCTTTTAACGAGGCATTATGTGGCATTGGGCCAGGCTGACAGAGATGCATAAGCCTTCAAAGGTTTATGAAAGCATAAAGAATGTGAAAGTATTCTAAATGCTACGCATCATGCCCCCTCCTAAAGAGATTCATAAACAAAAGAACCCATAACAACATCTAAAGCACAGAAGAAGACTTCACCAGGTTACGGTTTGGGTCTGACGTCGCCGCTTGTGCAGAGTCGGGTCGTGAGGGCAGCAGCCTAGGCAGGGAGGCCCAGACTTCCCTCTGCTCAGCCACTTGGGCCAGCTCCGCTGGGGGCATCTTAAGGTGTTCCCTGGCCAGCCGAGAGAATAGTCCCTCCAGCGTGTCCTGGGTCTCCCTTTGGGTCTCATCCCAGTTAGACGTGCCCAGAAAACCTCACCAGGACGGCGTCCAGGAGGCATCCTAATCAGATGCCCGAGCCACCTCGGCTAGCTCCTCTCGACGTGGAGGAGCAGCGGGTCTACTCCAAGCCCCTCCTGGATGACCGAGCTGCTCACCCTATCTCTAAGGGAGAGCCCAGACACCCTGCAGAGAAAACTAATTTCAGCCGCTTGTATCCGCCACCTCATTCTTTCGGTCACTACCCAAAGCTCATGACCATAGGTGAGGGTAGGAACGTAGATCGACCGGTAAATCGAGAGCTTCGCCTTCTGGCTCAGCTCTCTCTTCACCACGACAGACCGGTACAACGTCCGCATCACTGCAAATGCAGCACCAATCCGCCTATCGATCTCACGCTCCAGCTTTCCCTGACTGGTGAACAAGACCCCGAGATCCTTAAACTCTTCCACTTGGCGGGACCACGTCCCTGACCCGGAGAAGGCATTCTACCCTTTTACGAATCAAGACCATGGCCTCAGATTTAGAGGGGCTGATTCTCCAGTGAATGCTTTCAAAATCTAGATTACCATTTAAAATGATTAATTTGATTTGAAAACACAGTTTTCTTTTGACTCAACACTTCAGATTAGCAGTAAATATCATTTTGTAATAATAAATGAATTTCTCATCGATATCACAGCTTCTGTCACCCCTCAGCTTGCCCTCTCCTTTCCTGACCGTGTGTCATCACGGCTATGAATAAAACTAGAAATCAATAACCTGTAATTAAATTTAGTTTCATTGGCACAAGTAGATTAACTGGCTGTGTTAAAGAAAAGCGGGAGAGACAAGAATCTTTTTCTTTTCATTTTACAGATGCCCTGAGACGTGTTTCACCAGTTTAACACCAAAGATATAATAAACGGAGCCCCTGAAGAAGTTTTTTAATTAAAGTTTAGACTAACGGTAACTGCATCGGATGAAATGCAAAACCAATTCCCCTTCCTCCCTTTACGCTTGCTGAATTTCCTGTTTTTGACATCTGCGTCTTCTTTAGCTCATGTTGTGTTTGATTACACTCATTTCTCAACCTCACTAGAGCAGAAAAACCTTGTGTTTAACCCTACTTTTCAGCATCTTTCTGATGGCTGGGAAGGATCTTGATATTAATGTAAATGTGCAGACGGGTGACATGAATGCAGAGATGATTGGCGAGGGATGTAAAAAAAGAGAGAGAGAGATGGTAGGCTTGCATAGAAGTGATGTTTTTTTTCCTGTGAAGCCAAAGGTATAATTTGGGTGTAACGGCTGTGTGAGAGCAGGAAAAGGTGCTATTAGAGGACTAGCTGTCGGTATCAGAGCGGCCTAGTGGGATGGGACAGGATGCCTGAGTTTGTCTGCGCCGTCAAAGCTTAATTTAAAGCCTGTGACTGGACCCAACACTTTTGCCCTTGGCATTGAAAGTGCTCTCTTCTCATCAGCTAAATGGTGTTGTGACAAAGCCACAATCCCAACAATGGCTGTGATCTGCTAAAGTCGTAGCTCTTCGTGTTTAAAACTGAGCAGCACACAGGAGCAGAAACTCCAGTTCCTGCTGCCTCACAGCGCCCCCTCCCTTCTGCTCGTGCTCAGTTTCTGCTCAGTCATTGTTGCAGCTAATCAGTTTAATTTGGGCGCTGAAGCTTATGTGTTGATGAGGATGGAGAGGTGCTAGATGATTCCCCGTGGGCCCTATTGGTGGCTCGCCATCGTACACTCGGATAATGGGCGACCAGGAAAACAGCTGGGATGTGTACTCCGGCACCTCCAGATGCTACCTTGGTGCTTTTGTGCATGCTGGTGTTTGTGTCTGCTCAAATATCCAATATCTGTGTGTGGCGAGCTCAAACTCACACTCCTTCATCATAGCTGCTAGTTTGCCAGGCTCAAGGAGGATTTACTTATGTGCGGATGGATTTATGCAGTTTTTCCTAAAGACATTTATTATTTTACAGCCAATGTGCATCGAACAATGTTTGTTATTTATATTACAATAAAGACATGAGGTCTTTCAAATTTCTATCTTGGGATCGTTTATCAGAATAATGATGGAATGGCTCCACGAATCACATTTTAAAAGGCTGCCCTGAAGACCACGTCTAATGTCTGATGCAGTCAGGTTTAATCAATGCTGCTGTGTGTGCATGAATATCTTTCTCTTTGCAAAGACTCTTTTTCTGGCTAATAAATGAATCCAAGGATAAAGACATTTCCTTTGGCGTTGCACACTCATTGTATTGCCAGCTCATCCTCAGCCACTAAAGCCCATCCTCCGTTTGCAATGATGCCACTCCATGGACTCTCAAGTCTGTTTGAACTGATATAAATTAATCAAACACTGATCTGACTGCTATAAATTTCCCATTGTTCCCTCATTTTAGTCTGGTGTTGTCTTTGGTCCCTGTTTGGTTTCATTGTTTGCTGTATTTTTTTTCTCTACCTGAAGCCTGTCCCCTTTTTGCATGCTCATGTGTATTCATACCTCTAGAGGTGATGCTGTACCAGCCTTACTCTGCAGAGGCGGGGTTACAATTGCCCCTTTTGTCCTCCTATTCAAGACACCTGTTCCCTCTGTTTCTACCAGAGAAACAAAGTAGAAGTCCCAATCTCTTCAGTGTGTGCCATAAAGCCACTTTTTGTTTTTTAGCTTAAAATTCACAGAGTTAGCGTGACAGCCGTTACTCTTTTAAGGAGATGGAGTTTGATAATTGCCAGATTAACAACAGGAAGAAGCTGTAATTCCAGCAGCCAGTTTCATCTTTTTCAGCTCCCTTCCTGCCATTTTCCTTTTGGCTCCACACCAGCAGCACCCCATTAACTCCAGCAGATTAAACTATCTGATCAGTCTTAATCCCTATTAATGTAAAATTCTGGCTCTAAAACCATTATTCCTTAGTAGCACTTGACCATCAGTGGCTAGAAGACTATAACAGAGTGGTCTGAGACTCTTTAAGGAGTGAAACTGTATGAGCACATCCACACACGTGTGAACAAGTGAAGCCAAACCATCCAGTTTACAGGGATCACTTCCATTTCGCAGCTGCAATCTGGTCTGGACTGGAATGTTGTATCAAAGGAGGGTGCAGCTTGACCTGGCATCAGTATGTGTTCCTATATTACAAATGTGATGCACCTGGGGAAGATGCAGCACTGCGTTTTTTCTTCTTCCACCATAATCTTCATCCACATTATTCCCCACCATGGACGTAATTTTGGGGGGGGGACAGGGGGGACATGTCCCCCCCACATTTTCCAAAGTCAAGTTTTGACCCCTGCACTTTTTACCATCCAAAACAATATTACACTATATTAAATTAACACTGGATGAGCTCTAGGACCAAGCGGAAAACAACCATTTGTGTTGAAGTCTGTTTCCCATTAGAGCATACCGTAAAGATACCCCTCCCCCCTCCTCCCTCCCTCGTGTCCCCCCCACTTCTAAAGTGAAAATTACGTCAATGTTCCCCACTGCACCACAAGGTAGCAAAAGTGTGTGTTATTGCAAATCAAAATGTGGAGAAAGATCATTCCTAATTGGGCTAAAGTTTCTCTGAAAACAAGAATTTTTTAAATGGAATTTATAAGTTCTTCTCAGACATTATCTATTAAACCCAGTTCGAAAGCAGAAAGGCAACATGATCAGAATGTTGAAGACGGACGAAGAAAATAACTTTTGTTTCTGTGGAGCTCTGTATAAGCTGTGTCGTAATGTCTTAATCGTTCCTTGTCTCAGGTCCAAATGGAGGCAGAGAAAACAGGAGAGTTTAAAAATCTCTGAGAAGTGTTTTTGTTTTTCTCACCATAATATACACAGCCTGGCCAAAAAAAAAGTCACCACCTGGATTTAACTAAGCAAAAATGTACAAACCTCCTATTGGATAATTACTGCATGGGCGGTTGTCTTTCAGCTGACAACAAGTTATTAACCCCAACTGGTGCAGTGAGTTGCTTCTCATTTCTCAAACAACAATGTAAAGACACATCTGGTGGTTGTAGAAAAGATGTTAGTCTGTGTGAGAAGGGTCAGAACGTTGGCATCAAGCAGAGAAACATCTAAGGAGATTGTAGAAACAACTAAAACTGGGTTAAGAACTGTCCAACGCTTTATTAAAAACTGGTCTGATGAGTCCAGATGGACCCTGTTCCAGAGTGATGGTGCATCAGGGTAAGAAGAGAGGCAGATGAAGTGATGCACCCATCATGCCTAGTGCCTACTGTACAAGCCTGTGGGGGCAGTGCTATGATCTGGGGTTGTTGCAGTTGGTCAGGTTCAGCAACAGGATGTGCACCAAGATTGAGGCAAGCTGACTACCTGAATGTACTGAAGGACCAGCTTATTCCCTGATGGCACGGGCGTATTCCAAGATGACGATGCCAAGATTCATCGGGCTCAGATAGTGAAAGAGTGGTTCAGGGAGCATGAGACATCATTTTCTCACATGGATTGGCCATCACAGAGTCCAGACCTGAACCCCATTGAGAATCTTTGGGATGTACTGGAGAAGGCTTTGTGCGGTGGTCAGACTCTACCATCATCAATGCAAGATCTTGGTGAAACATTAATGCAACACTGGATGGAAATAAATCTGGTGACGTTGCAGAAGCTCATCGAAACAATGCCACAACAAATGTGGGATGTAGTCACAGCTAAAGGTGGTCCAAATGAACATTAGAGTCTCTGACCTTGTTGTTTTGGGTGGTGACTTTTGTTTGGGCTGGGCAGTGTGTGTGTGGACAGGTTGTGCAAACATACACCAGAAAATCTGTTTTTTAAATCCTCCCAGGTGGATGGGGCCATATGTAGCCATGTGGAGGCTTGGAATTTTGTTGGTTTAAACTTTCTCATTTACCTACCTATGTCTATCTATTATATATATTTATGTTGAAATAGAAATGTAGTGTAAAGTTATCCTTGGCTGCTGAATAAAACCCATTATGTTACGTCTCCCATCCGGCTGCAGGTCTGTTTACTGCAAACGGTTGAGAGGACAATCTTTTGTGAGTTATGACCGACTGTGAAGTGCATCAGGTCTTAGCTGGCATGAGGTCGTGTTTCAGTGGCAGACCGACAAGCAGGCTAACAGGTTCAGGAGGCATTTGTTCTTAAGCCCTTAAGGGATTAGTAATTGTCTGCCATGGCCAAAATAATTCCTGACCTGCTCAGAGGTTAGAGGTCATATTCCGCCATGTGCGTCTTCCGTCCACCCAGATAAGCACTGCCAGATGTTATTTAGGAAAACATGATCCCCTTTTATTTAAAGAAATTCGATAATGTGAATACTGGGGTTCTTTTGTGATTAGTATTTAATGTATGAAATACTTTTCAGAGTTATCGGTTCTACCTCTGATTTCTTTATTAATCTGAATGTTCATGTAATCTTAAATCATAAATGCTAAGAACTCTTGGCAAACCTCACATTTCAAACCTGCTTTACCTAAGTGAATAAAAGTCTTAACAAGACAGGACTAACTTAGTTATCCCTCTGCTTCCATTCTCATTTTCCTTATCCTTCCATCCAGGTCTGGACTTCCATGAAGACCTGCATCGGATCGGAGCAAAAGAAGGTCTGAAGGGCCGAAAACTTCAGAAGGCCATGGAGAGCTATGCTTGGAACATCACTGTGCTTAAGGTAAGACACCCTCCCCTTAAACGTGGCCTCCAACGCCATTAAGTCCCATATTCTTTATATTCCACCCCAAATTGCACAAATCTCAGCACAAACTCATATGAACTTGAGAGATAATTCTGAAGTCTGCAACCAGTTGGACAAACAATCCCAGACGCTGAGGTTTAATCACATGATGTATTACGAAATCTTCTTGGGCTAATTGTGTTTCTCTCTTCTCTAATCCCTAAATCTCTTAAGTAATTAGCGCTGATTCCAGCCGTTGTTTTATTTATTTGCTCATGTATCTATCTTGACAAGACTTGATAGGATTGTTCACACTTGTTGGAAGATGCACAACTACACACAGTATGCTTGTGGCCCCATGGCCGTGCCTTAAAGATGATGCTCTGCAGAAGGCGCTCTTGGCCCTGCCCTGTAACACAGAAGATAAGGCCGTTGTCTCAGGTGTTCTGGAGCAACAGAGCTGCCTTGGCTAAACGTGGACTGAGCAGCCAGGATATTATCTCATTTTATCTTCCTATAACCATTTACTACATGCTAATCTATTGGTTTGATTTTGCTTGATTGTTAGTGTTAGATTAGTAGATTCTTCAGGCAATTTCATATCGTAAATAGAACAACTAACAATTAGCACTGTTTTTTTTAATCTGTCAGCTTTTTATTGATTTTGATTAATTTAGTTTTTTATAACTTCAGAATCTTAAAGTGACTGTGTGTAGTTTCCTGCCACTAGGGGGAATACATACATTTCAGCAACACATTGTCGCTCCCAGCGCGTCAAAAACAAACGCTTGGTCAGCCACCCTCCGCATCAGACCCCTCACGCCAAAAGTGCCCTTTTTCGTCACTTATGTGCGAAAAGGGGTTTTCCCCTTTTCTGACTGCAGATCCCAATGTAGCGTAAAACTGACGCGATGGGATATCCGCTGATGCGGCACCAACCAGCTCATTTAACCGCATCTAAACCTTAACGTTTCACTATTTATAACCTTCCCCATACCCTCTTCCTAACCTTAACCCTCTTGCTACCTAAAACTTTACTCCCACTGTGATCAAGCGTGTTTATTAAATTAAATATATAAGTGAGGTACTACCCGTTAGCCACCGAAACTGCAACTACTAAGCAACTAACCAACCACAGATAACTTCTTTGGATCTAAAAAAAAAAAAAAAAAAACATTTTAAATTAGTTGACTTACTTTGAAACTTGAACATTGCCCCCAAAGTAGCTGCCAGCTTCTGATCCGCCGTCCTTTTGAAAATATTGCGGTGTATTCTGGGTAATTTTTGACCAAGGCTAGGCTACAAGACACCTCCCGTGTATCCTTGCTCACCTAGCTAAACGGCTAACAAACGGAGACCACACGCCTCGGTAGAACATGAACATTGGAACACAGCGGTTCCTGATGACGTATCTCCCAGGGAAACTGGGGCGGGGCCAAAACACCAAGTCAAGGTTCCTTGGCATTTAGAAACACCCATATCTTCCTGACTGTCGCTAGTTTCAAAAAGCATTACAGTCGGGGGCGGATTTAGGACTGAAGAAGATCCGGGGCTTAACACACACACACACGTGCGCGCGCACACACACACACACATGACACGCACTAGTCAACATCATATTTGTCTTGTACCACATACTTTTTAATCTGAAGCTACATATTAAGCATTTTCAGGGCAGAGTATTGTTCCTGTTAGTGTTTAGTGTGAGATGATAGTAAATATTCCCTTTCTTTCTCCATCAACGTTACCTGATAGTAAACTAACTTTAGGCAAACCAGCAGCACAACAAATATTTTCAAATAAGACTCACAAACCTGAGTCAGCACCAGCATAATCAAAGCTGGGGTTCTGTCGTTGTACTTTTGGTCTAAAAATCGTCCTTATGTCCATCTTCACTCATGCGTTTCAGGCAGAGAGTGTAGAAGAAGCCGGCTGCTGAAGGGCTTCTTCTTCAGTGGTGGAGGCTCAGGCAGGCTGTATACAAACTACTGCCAGCTGCTCCCTCTCTGTTGGACTTTGGTACTGCATGTTACTCCCGTGATTTAGATCCGGGGCTTTTCATGAAACATCCGGGGCTTTAGCCCAAGTAGCCGGGCCTGACGCCGCCCCAGATTACAGTAATGCAGGACGTCATTTTATTCATTTTCAACAACGTTTCGATGGACATTTTCAGAGTTTAACGAAAAACCTTCACAAAGGTTTAACCCTTTAAGTTTAATGTAGTTTCTGCAGCCTATGACCCAGTAAGAACAACTACTCACAAATCTAAACATCGCTGGCTCAACCTTCCCAGCGATGTCCATCAGGGCCGGTTTGATTCTGCGTTGGATTTCAAGAAACTTCATTTGACTAATTGGAGGATCAACATTCTTAATCAGCACTTTTGGAGATTCTGAACAGATTATTAAACTGTTGAGGTACTTAAAAGTAGAATAAACAAGTACATTAAAACAACTTAAGTCATATTTATTTAATTTTGTTTTATTTTATTTTGATTGCTATAAATCATCTGAAGACTCCTGCAGTCGGACGCCAAATTTAGGGCCCATGCTACCAATATACCGACAGTCATCACCAACAGTCTACCTGAAGTTGACAGGACACTATAATGGTAATAGAAACAACTCAGGCAGGAACAAGACCCAGCTGGACTTTTTAAAAAGCTCAGTAAAGTCCTGTTACATCACTTCCAGCACCAGCAGCCTCCCCCGCTGTTACACAGCTGTATGCCTTTGTGAGCGTGTCCTTGACGTAAATGATGAAGGTGAATCTGATGTGTTTGGATAAAGAACTACATCATTCCCTTTTAAGATAATAGTCGTGCATGTTTATTCAGTGTCTAAAATCTGAAAAATATCCAAAGCAGCTGTACTAAACCTCTGTTAGTAATGCAGCAACCATTTGACTCTTTACATGATGGACACCCAGATCAGCTCGTTTCCTCCCACACACATCACTCCCTAACTCATCCAACTCCTCTCATCCCTGTTTTGTCTTCCAAAGCACAAACTTCCTTCTTTCGCCGTTTCCTGATCCTCATTCATTCAATAAGCCATGCTCTCACCAGAAAGGCATCTTGGCATTCACATAACTCCACCTCCTCCTCCTTCATCTGTGATCTCTGCATCATGCTGAAAATTTGGTGAGAGCTCTGTGCCTCTTTGCCAGGCCTGGAGCTTATGCCCAGTTATTTCACCTGTCAACCTCTCCAGATTCTCAGCAGGCTGGGGCGCGCTAGCAGACAGAGGCAGGGATGGTCAAACATGGTGAGCTGAGAGGGAAGATAAGGCGGAGAACTGCCCTCCTTTTCTGTCTCCATATCCCAAAATTCCACTTCCACGGTGCTTTGACAGTGAGAGGAAGATCAGATCTGTCGCTGTGAATGATGCTTCCTGCACACCAGACCTCTCTGCCTGAAGGAAAGCAGACATAAAAGGAAGATTTGTGGCAGAACCTTTTAAAACCTCAAAGAAATGACGCATCTTGCCCAAATCACTCAGAATTGTTTTTGCACTGTGATTAAAATTTTCCGAGGCATTAATATTTAATCATCTTTCTGCTAAAATAGTTCAGATTGTTAATGGGTTCTATAACAATTCTGACCTCCTTTAATTTAATCAGATATTTTCTTGACATTTTCTGTTTTCATTTAGAGGATATCAGATCAAAGTCACTGTTAATGGTGTTTTAGGTGGAGATGAGACGTGTTAAAACTGTTATCTACACTATAAACTTAAGATTATTCACCACAGATTTGGTTTATTCCTGAATAAACACAACAAACAATGAGATAGAATCCACGGAAGACATTGTGCCGGGTTAGAAAACCTCCTTTGCCTTGGTTTAACCCCCTCTGGAGAGGGCTTGGCCTGTAGGAGTGAATGCAGTTTGGTTTTTGCAGCACAGGACCAGCTTTTCGCTTTCTTATTTTTATGCCTGGTGAGTCATGACTTACGTAATTTCAGCTTTTTCTCTCTCAAACATATGACTTATTCATGCAGCCGCTTGTGTGTGCTGGATCACCTTGGCTAAAAGGCCACTTCCAGCGCATTACAGTTACCTGGGAGTAGGGCATGAGTCAATAGGTGCAGGTTAACACCTTTATTCTTCCTGGAATATGTCAGACTGCTGTGTGCCAAGAACATCATCCCTTTCATCATTTACCCTTGGATGGGATGCACAACAAGTGAGCCTGTGCGGTTTCACAGGGACGCTAGTCCAGCAGGCTGCTGAGGCAGAACCATAACGCCCTCCCCTTTCTAGTAAACATGGAGTCCAAACAAATAGAATAAATCATTTAAATATTGTAAATAAAAAATATGAAAGTAAATTGTTTTCCACTCCCCTTTACGCTGCACCTCTTTAATACAGAACACTTTCATGTGGCAGACGGCAGGCAGTGCTAACACAGGATGTCTGCTCCGACCACTTCCTCCACATATGACTGGGATTCACGTCTGGAGTACTCAAATAAAGAGCAGAGCATAGTGTAACATTATCACCATATGACAGCACAGCTCACCAGCAGAGGAGCTGTGTACAGGACTGGCAGGCTTCCAAAACCACCATGTTGACTTAATACTGCCTCCTGCTGTATGGGATTAGTATTACATTTAAATAATATTATTGAAATGGGTCAGTGTTTAGTGACATTGCTTACAAAACAATTAATACAATTTTTTTTTTGCTTTCAGGAGTGTAAACCATGAATGGACCATAACAAAACCAGTAATTTCAAAAGCAATTACATAAATAACATTTGTGGCCATGCTTTGATAATCACATACATTAGCTGTCACGACGTGGGCCGCCTTATTTTGGGCGATGACAGGTTATTTTTTATCCCAGATTGTTCTGAGGAAGAATCAGATGAATTGCATTTAGTTTCAACGCTCATCTTTGTCAAAAACATGATCCCGTTTTCTCTGTTTAACCCTAACGCCCCCCAATTGGGGGCCTCTACAGTTTTATGTCCCAAACATCTACAACTGTCCACATTCTCCAAACACAACTAAAGCCACAATCAACCAGCCCAGATGGGAAACCAGGCCATTTTAGATTGTAATAACTTAAGATACAATGATGTGTGAACTTTATTTTAGAAGAGCATCTGACCGTCACTGGTGTCTGCTGGGAAAAAAAAGCCTTGAACAAATTTTGTTGAGGAAACCTGGAATAAATAAAACAATTGACTACATTTCCTAAATGGAATTTGAACTCACAACCTCCATCCTGTCAGCATTTTCACACACGGCTGCTCTTCTAAAATAAAGTTCAAGTATTGTTTTATCTTAATGTATCAAAAACCAGAAATTGCTTTGTTTACAGTCTAAACTGTTTTGATTGTAGCTGTAGCCGTGCTCGGGGAATGCAAACAATCACTGACACTTGGGACACGAAACTCCAAAGGGCCCTGATTGGGAGGCGCCAGGGCCCAAAGAAAAAAGGCCTAGGGCCTAAAGGGTTTAGGACACCAATGAAAGTCTTGTTACCGGGGTCAGCTCCTAAAACGTATCCAGCTGTGGGATCTGGCTACAGCATGATCTCAGGAATGGCAGCAGCAGCAAAGCCACAGACTGCTTTAGGTGGGCCAAAGAAATGTCATTGAAGATAAGTTTATTTGTCAATACCAGTTCAATACCAGTTTTGCTTCAATATTTATGTCTATATGCGTCAGAATTAGTTATTTTAAATTTTCTTTTTCATTCATTTGATGACAATTTGAAATGACACCCCTCAAATATAAAACAAATTTACAAACGATTTCTTTAAGAAAGCCATTTGGGCCAGGGCCCAGCCACAGCCATGCCCATGGTCAGCAGGCAGGGGAGAGCGTATTTGCGCCACGATGAGAAGACTTTTGGGGAACCTTGTGCCTTTCGCAGAGGTCTTGAAAGAGAAGAGAAGGTAATGCGTTCATGTAATTGTCATTAAATGACCCGCACTTGTATAATGCCTTTCAGAGTAAGTACTCCAAAGCGCTTTACACTACAGTGTATCATTCATTCACACACACTGGTGGTGATGAGCTACGATGTAGCCACAGCTGCCCTGGGGCGCACTGACAGATATCATGTCTGTACATGTTGTGTACATATCCCTATGCCCTGTTCTATGTCCTGTAAAGTCACAGGCAGACTACTAGAACGGCAACTACAATAAAGTCCATTCTAATCTAAAAGCATGTGAAACCTGTGAAATACTTTTACAAAAACTACTAAAAATGTCACGAACAGAACTCAGAAGACCCGTGAAGACACCAAACACAGTAAAAATAGATAAAAAAAATCTTTTATTTTTAGTGAAGTTCCCCGAGGTGGGAGAGGCTGGAGACAGAGTCGGAGACAGGTGGAGGTCGTAAAGGCAGGCAGCGTACAAGGCAGGGGTCAGGAGAAAAATTAGGTCCGGAGGCAGCGATCAGGCAGGGTGAATGGCTGGAGAATTTACAGGCAAAGGCTTTCAATAATCTGGCAGGGAACTGGTGGCTGACTGGTGAATATATAGCAGGGGGAGCAGATGTGAGTGATGAGCTGAGGAGTCAGGAGCAGGTGAAGTGGATGAAGCCGATTACAGGAACAGGTGAGATGAATGGAGTTGATAGTGGTTGCCAGGGAAACAGGGCTAGCCAGGAGCTCGGTGAGGGGACCAGGTGAGCTAAATGAAGGTTGAAGGCTAAATGAGGGGGCAGAGGAGGGTGAAGGATTGGGAGTCATGACAAAAGACACCAAAGCAGAAAACTTTAAAACCAAGCAGACACACAGTCATGAAGAAGAAATGCAAAATTTTGAAGCACATGTGAAGTTTTTCTCTTCCCAGTATTTTATTATACTTTTTTGCATTGCGCTAAGTCATAAAAAGAGTCTTCTCAATGCACTTCACAGAGGAAACAATTCAGTTCAGTTGGTTTAAAGGGTTTCCTACATAAGGAACCCAACAGATTGCATCGAGTCACTGGCTTTACCGCAATCCCCATACTGAGCAAGCATGTAGCGACAGTGGAGAAGAAAACAGGAAGAAACCTCCAACAAAACCTGACTCGGTATGAGCAGCCATCCGCCACCACTCACTGGGGGTTTGGGCAGAGATGGGAATGTGGCATCAACTGATGACTTGATTATTATTATTATTCTGAGCTACTACAGCAATCAATTTCCCTCTGGGATTAATAAAGTATTTTTGAACTGAATTGAATTGAATTAACGCCATGCCGCCATTTTGTTCTGCTCAGCACGTGAACCAGGTTCATTCACTGTGCTGATGGAAGTCACCTGGTTTAGTTTCTGAACTGAAGAAAAACACGGCATGGAGATGACTTGTTGATGCCACCATTGCCCGTCTCTGGGTTTGAGGAGAGAAAGCACACACACACACACACACACACACACACACACACACAACACAACATGTATACCAAGTACTGTTTCGATGGCTGCATACATTGCAATGTCTTAGTAGAGATTCTATTTCTAAACAAAATAGGCTTTATTGTTTTTGAGTGAATCTGTGAATCTGTTATTATTCAGCTGGTAAACAAGTAGTAGCACATTCTATGTTTAACAAAGTAAAAAGTTAATATCAGCATAGGGGAATGGCAGTAGTGTGAAATGTCCAGGACTATATCAAAATAAAGCAGAACTGAGCGTATAATTTAATGCAGATACATTTTAAAGGTGTGGAACACTGAAAAACATTTTTCTAATTTTTATTTCTAATTATAATCACAGTTTGAGTTTTTCATGCAGGCTGAACATGAAAATAGTCTCCTACACCTATCTCCTGCATTAGCTTCTGAAAGAAACTAATGTCGAGTATACGACTCAAGGCCTTCATTCCTACCAGAGAACACTATAAGTATATAGGCCTTGGGATCTCTGGAAGAACAAGCGACAAGTAAGGACTTGGAGGCCGCCAGTATGGCGGCCGCTTTGGTGATGACGACACAAACCCAAACCTGATTGATTTGGGGAGTATTCAGAAAAGCTGCATCGTGAAATCAAATCGGGGATGTCTTTTGTCCTTGTTATTTTTTTCCCACTGAAACTTGATATGAATAAATAATAATTACGACTGTGTCTTTGTCTCCTTCTGTCTCTATCTCAGGGTCAGGCCGACCTGCTCAAGCACGCTAAGAGCGAGGCGCTGGACACTTTGCGTCAGATCCACTGTGCAGCTCAGTCCTGTGGCCTGAGTAAAAATGGAGCAGCTTCCCCACAGCTTCAGCATCATCCTTACCACCAACCGTCCCAAATACAGCAACAGCCTCAGGCTAAGCTCCACCCACAGCCCCTACCACTCCACCAGTCCCAAACCTCTCCTCGGGTTTATCTCCACCCCCATCCACAGCTGTATTCCCTGCCACATTCCCAGCTACAAACTCTCCCCCTTGTCCAAACGGTCTTAAAACCACCAGCCTATCCCCAGCCTCCACCCATACCCCAGAATCTGTTACAGAACCAGCAGCAGAGGGCAGCAGGACCCCTCGACACCATCCCTGAGGGACAAAAAGAGATGGTTGGCGACAATCCTGCAGCATCCTGCTGACTGGCAGCCTGTGCCCACAGAGAGTCCCACCTAAGTCGAGAAGTAGAGAAGCAGAGGGATGTAGATGAGACGCAGGAAGGTAATAAGGTAAGAGAGACGGAGGATGTTCAGGAGAGAGTGAATGAGATGGTGAAAAAGACTCGTCGTGCTAGAAGCATAACGCGAGTCTGACAGGCGTTACGAACCAGTCATGCGTTTCTCAGCAGAAAGACGCTCAATTTGAAAACATAATCTCCCATTTCAATCGGAAATTTGACATTTTCTCAGTAAAAGAATAACCGATGGTTGCAGGTTTTTCTGGTTAGGAATGCATATGGATGACATCCCTGTCTCTCTCTGGCCACTGCTTCTTTATTTCACTGCGTACACCAGCTCTGTGGGTACAGGCTTTACCTCACTTTGGCGTTTTATGCCATAAAAATGCCTTTTGGTTCCAGAGACACCCTGGCATGTCTTTGAACTTTTAATTTCTTCATATTTGCACTCCTTTGTCACCATTTACAAGAAGATGCTAAGTGCAAAACCTACACTCCTTTCAATGATGAGGATGCCATTTAAAATTTAAATGCACAAATTAGAGCCGCTCTGCTGTGCTCAGCACTAGGTACCACACACACACGACCTTTTCAGCACAAACCAGGGAGCTCTTTCATTAAAATAGGAAAAAAAAAACATCTGCAGCTGTTTATTGACACTAATGTGTATTTTATTGCTTCTGTCTGCCTTCACCAACACCTGCATATTCCTAGGATCATTCAATAGGGTTTAAGCTCTTCATCATTCCTGGGACTCCCCCCACAGGATCTCCTTGTCTCCTCCCCAGGGGCTGTGTTTATGATGTTCTGTAAGTTGGTGTTTTGGTCCCCATGGTGGAGCTAAGCCATATCCTTAAGTGGTGGAGCTCAGCAATCATCAGCTATAATATTTGGTCATACCTGGTAGAAGTAATGGTCAAAATGATCACGGTACAGCTGTTAATAAAGTGACTATAGATGTAAACTGTGTGTAAATTATATGAAGGGAACATATGTTGCTCTGATAATTCTCAGATATTGAATGGTATTCTAACTGTTGTAAGTTTTATTCTTTTTTTGAACATTACTTGCACATCTGCAGTGATTTGACACCTGTTGTTCTGTGGGTCGGGTCAAAACCAAGCACGTGGGACTGGGATAAGTGATGATGAGTTAGAGCCACGACACCAGGGTCAAACAGTGACCTGGCAGATGACTGTGGAATCTGTAAGAGCTCCTTGAGGTTGCCCATTAAAACTGGCTTCATTGTTTATCTCGTCTCCTCTTGTCCATTTATCATTAACAAATGCATTAGGTGGGTTGTTAAATATGCAGATTGATTTGATATTTCTGTAATGCACTCTGATACCTCACTAAAAATCCCAGATCCGCACAATGACTGAGCAGCGACCTTTACAAACAAATATAGCTGACTCGTTAGAATTTATTGAAAGTAGTCCTCCGAATCAATGATGCTTTTCAGAAGCTTTATTGGTTGCTTTTGATGAGCTGTGTTGCAGTTAATACTCTTGATTCAAAAGTATTTCCTCATTGATTCAAGCCTTTTATTTTATGAATGGCTTTCTTTTTTTGAAGCAGTGCTTCCTGTTGTCCATAAGATGGCAACCAACATTTGGTAAGTGAATGAGCATGAGGGTAAAAATCAGTCTGTCATTTTATTATATTGTGTTTTACACAAAATGGTTTTGTACCTGCACTTTATGGAAAGCTGCGGTCAAATGTTTAGAGAATAACCCAGTTTGCTCCCTCAGTTTTTCTGATGGCAGTTTTCATAAACTTCAGAATGTACAAAGAGGGATCAGAATAAAAATTATTATTTTCAAAGTTCCCTATTTGTCATGAAAATGAAGTAAATTATGGCTAAAGCAGCTTCAGAACAAAGAAAGTCCAGAAACATCAGGACGTTCCTGAGTTGATCATCTGCAGGATTGGGGCATCAGTTCAGAACTTGCTCAGGAATGGCACCAGGCTGTCGTGTTTGGGTGTAGGTTCCTGACCCAAGTCATGCAGAATCAAACACAAAGAGGCCAAGGTAAGTAAAGCAATCATTTCTTAACCGACAGAGCGCCGTCAACGGGAGGTAAGCGGGTCAAGGACAGGGTTCAGAAACATAGTTTAATCACTGGCTGTTTGATTCAATTC